ATTTAAAACAAAAAACTTAATATGGTAGAATAAGTTTTCCAGACACGACTTCAAAACAATGTTAATGGTGCTAAAAAATAGCACAACAGGTTATTTCATTTCTTGCAGAAAGTTAGAGACTGATACTTCTCTCATATCTGTACAGTAAATATAAAGATACCACCACAAACCAGTTAGCTTAGCTTAGCTTAGCACAAAGACTGAAAACAGGGGGAAACACTTATGCTGGCACTCTCCAAAGCAGGGACAGGTATCAAGAACTGGCACTAAACGGGCACCTGGCCAAACCGTGCTACTATCTGTAAAACGTTAATTAATTCTAACATAACTGGCATTTTCAAATTCTTAAAGTTCTCCAATGATGAAGGAGCTGATAATCAGGCGATTACATCGGACACTGCAGTACTGCAAGTTTACCTTCTGTGCTGTCCATTCATGGCTAACAGGGGAAAACGCTCCAAAGTGTGGGCTCACTTTACTAACATTTATGAAGTGCTGCTAAATACAATCAATGGCAAAAGGTAATTGCGTGCAAAGACGGTAACATCAGGACCCATGTGAAACACTACATTCTATACATCTAAAGCAGTGGAGCATGTTTGACTCCTTCAGGGCTGCCTCCAGGCTGTGATGCTGATGGGATCTGTCAAACTAAAATTATGACTGTCTTGACCTTGTCAAGTCGAGGACAAATTAACACTCATCATAAAAATAGATCTGTTGTTATTAACTCAGGACACTGTTAGCATCGGTTTTAAGCACTCCCTCATCATGCATAGAGGAACCTCAATTAAACTTGTTTCTGCAAAAAGTAATATCAAAATAACGTCTGAATCTTTTCACATTGTTTCATGTCATGTCTTAGCCTGGAAATCCAGGCTAAGACACCTCACCAATACACCCTTCCTACCCAAGGGGCGGCACTAACTGAGGCATATTAATGGACGCGGTCCTTTGGCAGCTGCCATCTTGGCTGTTTACTTTTTGACTCCTACCTCGCAGCGCTGTCCTCATCATGTTACGCCCGCCCAGAGCCCACCTCTGTCAGATAGACTGATCTGATTGGTCCGATGGCGAATCACAGGGCTCTGCTTGTCGGGGTCAGATCCCCGTGCAGTGCAAATTAGAATTTGCTAGGGGCGGAGCATCTGGATTTCCAGGTTAGTCATGTCTTTATTTTTCACACCAAATTACAGAGAGTAGCAGGCACGGGACGATACAAAAATTCCACGTCACAATCATCCCTAAAGTCATTGCAATTGATGATATTATCCTGATTATCATTAAAATATGCGCAAAACTCTTCATTAACTTTTTATTGCATAGGACACAAATCTTTTTTAGTAAACAACACCAAATAGTAAACATACACCAAAGTATCAGTATCAATTAAATCCTAGCAATACTCATCCTTAGTCCAAAGGAAACACAACCTGCCTTCCAGCACCTCTAAGGCTCAGTAATTAGCTTTTTATATCGAAACTGTTTAATCCACACAAAAACAAAAATATAAAAACAACTTTGGCTCTGAGCCGTCGACTGGCGACCTATGGAGACTCCAGAAAGTTACTGGTTGAAACGAATAAATAGTCCAGCACACAAACTGCCATGAAACACTCCTCCACTTCAGTTCTTGAACAAATTAAACAAAGAGAATTTCCTCTAAGGTATCTGGCTGCTGGGTGTGGCCTTAAATTAAGCATACAGTAATGAGCGTGGGATCAATTTTCTACCTCTGCCAGAAAGCGAATAAGTATATTTTCCAATGTGTCGAACTATTCCTTTAGACCTTTATTCTAAAAGGTAACGCATGGACTGCTTTGTTTTTGTTTTCTGTTATAAAGCATTTAAGTGATTATCCTGGTGCTACACAGATTTAACTGTAAAAGTACACAAAAAAAACACGAATAAAATATCCCATTTAAAGAGATTCATGTGACCTTTCAGCATCAGAGTAAAGTAATGTCTGATTATAGCATTTCCAGCGTAGCTCATTAAAACTTTAGGTGCATTCCTAAACTTGACCTCATGGTATTTCCCCTCCCAAAGAAACTGACAAAGCATTTGCTTCCCTGACTCTGGGCACCAAGTTCACTGCGGTGCTTCCACTCTGTGTGGCTCTAAGAGGCCTGCATTTGCATGACCGTGTGTTTTCATGCATCACATGTCTGTTTGTGTGTGAATGGACTTGGCTGAATCAGTAAACACCAGTTTGAACGCAAACCAGTTATTACCGGGGCTGCCACACCCGAGTCTCTTCTTCTCCCTCCTCCCTGCTCTCTGAAAGTGGAGCCTTAGCACATCAGCTTCAGCTAGCAGCACAGAAGATTTACACCACACACGCATCTGTGACTAAAACCAGTCCTGCTGCAAAGGTGGTGGTGGTTTGTGACGTCTAATTCCAGGTAGAATCTGAACTTCCACTCACCTCTGCAGACACACTCTCTCTGGTTGCATTTCTTATAAATTCTAAAATGAGACCATCCAGCTGTGAAGCATGGACATGCAGCTAATGAGACTGACTGTGCGTCATCGGCATAATGATTAACTTTAGCTATTTAATCACACAGACGCATGCATACACACTTTCTTTTTGAACACACATGAATACCAATGAGGTCAGCCCACCAGTGAGGCTTTTAAAAACATAGCTATTGCTTCGTTCACACCTAGTGGAACCCCTTAAACACAAATCTTCGAAAAAGCTGACCACATTTTAGTATGAAAACTATGGGCTTGCATTTTCGTGTAGACGGACGGAACCATGATGCAGACACCCATGTTCGCTTTCCAACTGGGTTTTATCAGTCACAGCTTGTCAAGACATTATAGCCAGGTCTGCATTCCTTTTATGATTTTATCTTTCTTGTCTTGATACTCCTCCACTATTGTAATAGTTTCCTCCGGCGATGGATAATGCTCCTGTTACTGCTCTAATATGTCGCCATATTTGCTTTGTGACGACTCCCAATCTGTTTTCCACCACCTTGACCGCCTTACACTCATGTTACTATCAGTAACAGTTCAACCTTTGTCGGTAAAAGCAAAGAAATCTCTGGTTTTACTTTTCGCCATCTCTGTATGCAACTGCAGAGTAGGCAACCTGCTTCCTGTTTACACCTGCACATGCATGCCCAGTGTACGAAAATAGTTATGTGAAATGTATCTTCAGACGTGTTAGTATGAATAGAGAGTAATTCTGAAATGGAGCTAAAACCCTCCTGTTCGGGGATCGTTTTTGCTTTAAACGAAAACATGTTAGTGTGGATGTGGCCTGAATCTCTGTATCGCAGTGACGTTCCTGCAGGTGATTTACTTGAAGTATTTTAGATAAGACTGGATTACAAGTATATAATGACTGTATTTCCCCTCAGTGACTCAACTATTCATCTCAAGTTTCTCTTGAACAAATTAGTCATCTGTTCACCTCATAACCTGTGTTTACCAGAAACCAGCTCGGTAAACATGGCAGTGACTAAACTGTCCCATATCTTACACATTAATGTATGCACATCAATAATCAATTAACTGATAAAGCAGTACATCAGTCACAAACACTGTCCAGTTCCAGCTTCTCATGTGGGAAGATTTGTTGCTTTACTTTGTTTTATATCACTGATAAATGAATATCTTTGGGGTTTGGACCATTCAATGGACAAAGCAAGAATTTTAGAGATGTCATCGTGGGCTCTGAAAGGCATTTTTCACCTTGATTGAACTCTGTGGTTTTCTTTGAGGCTGTAGGTTATGACGATTGGGTACTTGGGATTATTCAACACTGACACACAGTACAATACCAAAACGTTACATTTCGATCTTACAAAAAAAAGACAAAAAAAAACCATGTCATTCAACAGAAGACGCCAAATGCTGATTGTTGTCTAACTCCAGCAGCCGTACCAGAACTTGACCTGAACAACAACAGTCTGTAAGTGAGCAAATCTTGACTTAGATCAGAAACTATGTGATCAAACAATAAGTCAACAAGTTCGCAAATTCAGTCGCATTCAATGTAGTTTGAGTACTTTTTGATAAAGTCTTACAGACACATTTTGGTTGATACCAAAAAAGTATTAGCCTAAGGCCCGACAACCAGCTCTAGATGCTGCATTGGACTTGAGATAAGTATTTGTCCATTTAATCTATTAAGAAAAAATGCAGTAAAATGACTATATTTGTATTTTAGACTGTTGGTCTGACAAAAAAAGTCTATTTAAAGACATCAGTTTGGGCTCAAGGACATTGTGATGAGCTATTTCTCACCATTTTCTGATAGACAACATGTCTAATCAATCAATTGACTTTTTTTTAATGTATTTTTTGGCTCTCCCTTAAAGTAAATGGAAAGAAAACTAGGAACACTTGAATTTTTTTGCAGTCCGGCACAACTCTACCACTTTTTACAGCCTCAACACAACTGCTGTTAAGGTGAGTCAACACTCTGTGACACAGTGTCAACACTACAGGTACAGTATGACCTTCACAATGATTTATCGCAGGGCTATTATGTGTCTGACTGCATTAGATTGTACAGGTAACTAAAACACTGCAAACACCTGCACTGTAGAATGTGAACCATTAAAGCAAGTCATGTTATCTGTCTCTCTTGCCTGACACAATGAAGGCTTAGGGGAATCATTTATACTGTAGGATACACCCTGATAGATTCAAAAGAAGGACACAAAAACTGAAATATCAAATGGAATATCTTGAATGGAAGAAAGATGACACTGCTTTTGTTTGAGGATAAGACAACAAGAGAAAAGGGCATGGCCACACTGGCAGTGTTGAGGATGTTGAGGCTGTAATGAAGTCCAGACTCCCTCCACACCGCTGAGAGACAGTGCAGATGCCTCAGCATGCTGATGGAGCCCCGAAACAATAAACACCAACAACTCGGTCTCCTCTCCAACTGCGCTCATTTCAAACTCACAGGAGACATACTCAACACAACAGTGAGATATATATGAAGCCTACTGAGGAGAAACATCTGAACTCACCTTTTCCTTTCGTCTATGAACTCGTCTATCAAGTAAATCCAGATCCTCGTCCAGTAGAGAAACAATGTTCAGTCGTACCTGGAGCCACCTCCTGCGCACTTTCACCGCCCTCTCAGCACCAGGTGTAAAAATGCGCCACAATATTTTAAAACAAAAAGCACGTTATTGTTATTTGTCTCTTTTTATCGAGGCTCCATTCCAGTTTTTTCTTTTTGTCCCGCACAAACTTGGTGGATACTCCCCTTCACCTGTGTTTGGACTTGTCTCCTGCTTCCGGTGGTTTGAACGGTAGTTACCTGTGCGGAGTGATCCGCGCTGTGAGTCCCAGGAGGAGCAAAAAGGGTGCGGCACGACTCTGCTGCTGCTGCTGCCGCCTGTCTTTCACAAAGGAGCGGGTTGGTATGCTGCTCCAACCAACCTGAGGGAAGGAGCCCCGCCCCCAGCGGCCCCCCTCATAGATGACGTAGTGAGGGACCAGCCAATGAGAGTGCAGCTATAGAGTGATTGACAGCGTGGGCGGGGCTGATATTCAGGCGGGTTTATATGATTGTGATAGTGGGAGGTGAATAAGATGCTCTGAGGTTAGCTGTACTACTTAAATTTTTCAATTCCCCCTTTTTCTGAATTAACAAGACTTTTATCTCAGAAGTCTAACAACTGTTTTTTTATTTGTGAAAGCAAGACAACTTTTACATTAGTTTACATATCACTAACATCGGAGCTTAAAGGGGAACACCACCCAAATTAAGAATTCCAATATCCTCCTGAGACCATTGCTGTGTCTCAAATTGCATACTTCTGTACTTACATTTAATATTTTGAGTGCATAAGTGCGTTCACACTGAACAGTTTTCTGTGAAAACGGTCAAGAAGTTGAGTGTGGAACTATGGACACTTCTCGCCCTCAATGGTCGCCATCTTGGCTACATAGAAGGAAGGGGAGGGACCACTTTTCAAACTGGAAATGGCGGTCGAGGACTGTGCGACCATGAACGTCGCTGCATTGTACAAATGTAATGGTGTGTCTCAAATCACATACTTCAGTTAGTACACTTCTATGTAGTATACTATGTGCACTATGTACTCATTGGCGTAGTGCGCAAAATTCGACAGGGTAGTGTTGTCTCAAACCAAACAAGACCGTTGTGCACTCACCGGAAATGACGACTGCAAATTAGCTAATTAGGAAACTAGCATTAGCATTTGCATTATCGTTCACAGTACCAAATCATTACAGACGGCTAAATTAACCCAACAAACATACTGCTGGCTTATATCCGACAACAGTATAGTGGTGCTTAGTGCAAAAACAAGTGTATTTGTACACTTTAGCGGCGTTCACAGTCGCACAGTCCTCAGCCGCTATTTCCAGTTTGAAAAGTGGTCCCTCCCCTTCTGCTACGTAGCCAAGATGGCGACCATTGAGGGCGAGAAGTGTCCATAGTTCCACACTCAGCTTCTTGGCCGTTTTGAGTGCACCATCCAGGTACTCACAGTGCACTGCATTTTCCATACTTCTCAGTGTGAACGCACTTATGCACTCAAAATATTAAGTGTAAATACAGAAGTAAAAGATTTGAGACATAGCAAAAATTATACATGTATTTTTTGCACTAAGCACCACTATCCTGTTGTCGGATATAAGCCAGCAGTAGCCTATGTTTATTGGGTTAATTTAGCAGTCTGTTATGATTTGGTACCGCGAACGATAACGCAAATGCTAATGCTAGTTTGCAAATTTGTTATTTTGTTAAAGTGCACAACGGCCGTGTTTGGTTTGAGACAACACTACCATGTCAAAATTCACGCACTACATCAATAAGTACATAGTGCACATTGTATACTACATGGAAGTGTACTAACAGACGTATGTGATTTGAGGCACGCCACATGTGTTCTTGTATCGAACATCACATTTTGGGTTTACTTGACCTTACACTTCATTCTACTTTACTCAGACCTGTTTTGTGCCATCTAGTGGTAGCTAGAGCACAGTACACTAATCCATGTAAAAACAAGATGGCAGCCATTTCTGCCAAGTCAGTCTGCAGCCAATCCCAGCTCAAGAGTGGATAAGGTCCAAAACCTGATCATATTTTATGGTTGACATTTTTTTTTATTTATGATTAATAGTGTTTAATGACAGTTTTATGACAACAAATCTGACCAATTTTAGCAACAGTAGGAAGCTAAGACACCGTTAATTAGAGAGTACTCGTTTGAGGCCATTGGGACATAATTATCGTTTAGATACACATCAGGTCCTACTGATCCCAAACAGCTAAGAGAAATTAAAAATGCATACCAAACAAAAGTTCAGGTCTCAGGAGAATATGTTATTTCCATGGCCTGGAGGAGTGGTTATTAAAATACTCAATAAATGGTGTCTGTAACTTAAAGAAGCCATCAGCTCCTCTATGAGAGAATTTTATTATTTCCAAGCCTAGAAAAAAACATCACATCATTCAGCCGGATTGAAAAGGTGGGTGTTTTTGGAGCTTTCTATGTGAACATTTTTCATGGCAAAATTAATTAATGTGATGATTTTTTTCCGATTCATAAACACTTTTGTCAGAATTCTGAGAAAATGACCTTGTTAATTCAGAAAAACAGAACATTTGTTTTCCCTTAAGTGAAAGCAATAAGTTTATGTAGGTTCGGACTACCTGTATGTTTCTTATATATTATGGTCTTGGGCGGATTTTGAGACAGTATGGGTCCCAGATCAAGGAAGGAGAGAATGAGAGAAATAAGAAACAGGCACAAGTCCATCAAAGAGAGTGGATTTTATGAGCTTGTTAAATGTAATTCTTCATCTGCAAAGTGACTGTGGTCTATTGTTGGCTTCTTGGTTAAAATGCATGACATAAACATGATTGTGGCATCCCTGATTCAACGCCAGCCGCAGTCTTTTGTTGCACGATCCCTCCCCCCTGTTTCCTGTCACCTTTCAACTGTTGACTGTTGAATGGGGGGAAATGCCTGTGATAGTTTAATCTCCCACTACTGCTTTAAAAGTAACTAAGAGAGAAGGGGAAGTCCCTGAAGAATAAAAATAACCATGTAAAGTACCTCAGAACTGTAATCAAGTACAGTTCATTTTTTCCACCACTGTCAATTACATTTGAGCAGCTTTCTTCTTTCCTCGTGGTATCATAACTAATCCCTTCAGTTTTCTGCATTGTATATAAAAATGTTGATGTATGTCAGTTTTGATTGTATTTAAAGCACACGTCAGTATTCTTACTCTGTAGGTTGAATCTTCATTTTTAATTCACTGTTTCCTTTTGTTTGACGTCAGGTTAATTTCACTGTCACATTTTGTTTAAACAACTCAGGAGAGAAGAGAGCTGCTTGAAGGCAAATATAAGAAGTAGGTGCTTTTACTTTTCAGAGGTGTGGACTCGAGTCACATGACTTGGACTTGAATCAGTCTTGAGTCACAAATATTGTGACTTTAGACTTGACAAAATCAAAAAAGATTTGCAACTCTACTTGGACTATAACACCAATGACCTGTGACTTCACTTGGACTTGAGCCTTTTGACTTTAAAATACTTGAAGATTAACAAGTATATTATTGAAAAAGTGCGCCATTTGCTGAATCAACTAACGTTAGCCTATGCATCGCCAGCGAGTCGACGCTTAATTCCCCAGATCTACTTTGTTTGAACAATCCAACATCATCCAGTCAAGTTGCAGGGGAATACCATGAAGAACTAACGTTATGTTAGCACCAGTGGGAAAAGAAGATACCAAAGATAATTTTGTTCACGTACAAAAACTACGCTGTAGTAAAAAAATGAAATAAAAAAATTGCGATGTTCAAAACAAGTGGGTCAAAAATTACAGACAGAGACACAACAACTTCCAACCTTGCTCGACATTTGAAACTGCATTAAGAACGGAGGAAGGAGTTGAGGGTACTATTAACATAGTTAGCGAGCTGTGGCGACCTCTAGCTCAGTGATTCCCATGTGGTCCAGCCACAAGGGTCCATATGTCTCCTTAGTCATGAGTTCAAGGTCCACATAGTTTAATATATTCTGCGTCATACTTGCATTTGGCCATGACATCAAGCTAGTTTGCTGTCTCTGTCAAGTAGCTGTCTGTTAGTCACTCACTCTACAGGAGGAAACTGCACTTTGAAATAAAAGCTCTACGCCAGAAATTAAATAAAGTGTGGTTTTTTTTTTTACTACTTGACACATTCTCGAGTCACTTGCAGTCCATTCAGAATGGATCTGTGATCCACCAGTTGGGAACCACTGCTCTAGCTCACCTGGTAGAATTAGCATCCCATATAGACTGATTTCTTTGCAATGGCAAGGATTTGAATCCAACCCGTGGCCCTTTGCTGTCTCACACTTGTTTTAACAAATAAATACACATTTTAAAAAAGCATTAACAATTTTTATACATTTAAAACGGCATTTTGGCGAGGAGCACATCATGACCTGTTTAGGACTCGATACTCAAAGTTTAGGAATTGGGACTTGACTTGAGACTTGTCACAGACTTGGTCCCACCTCTAGCGATTTTTAGATAGGAATTGTGCAAATTTGCAGGAAAGCGCAATCAGTCTTCTTTCAGCATTGGCAGTATAAAAACAAAACCGGGGAGTGCAGCAAAATGCTGCCTGCCTTATTTTGTCAATACAGAATGTGCCTTTTTCGGGGCAATGGGGGGCATGAGCAAGTAACAAAACGTGTAGCTCAGCGTGTGACGTAAACAGTGACGTGTGAGGGAAGCTGCGCTTGGTCAGTCTTTCTGTGATTCTCTCGTAAGTCGGCCCGTTCTTCACCGTCCCCGTCATCTGACAGTTAATGGCCTCTTCGTTTGCGAGGACAAGGAGGGCGCGCAGTTCCTTCGCAGCTTGACGGCAAAACGTCCCAACATTCGCTGAAAATCTGGCAGTGTAAAAGGGGCTACTGTTACTTTGTGATGTCAGAAGCTATGGCAATAATGACCAATTACATTCCTTGGGCCAGGATAACACACACATACCCACATAACTGTTAAGTGTAACAACTGTAGAAATACACAGTCCCTCAGTTTATAATGATTCTACTCCAAGATACACAATTTAACTCCTAAACCTTTTTTATGCATCTGACCTACTGACCTTGTCTTCTTCCTCATCACAGCCAAATCTGCCTTTCAGTACAGTACAGAAATGACAATGGCAGCCCCAGAAACACCACCACCAACCTCCAGCAACAATGGGCTGTCAGGCTCATCTTTTATTCAGAGGACGAGGGCACGAGGCCCACAGGCAGCCCAGTTCACCACTCCAGTGAGAGGGCAGAATCCAGTCACAGAGACAAGATGAAACTATGACTGGTTATCTTTGTTTTTCCTCCTCAGTTTGGC